CAAGACGTGCACATACCACTTTCGGGGCAGGTTCCTCCCAGAGGCGGGGGGGTTCTCTCCGCAGTGTGGTTGTGGTATTTCATACTCTCTAAAGGTAGGAAAGTATCAACACTTTGTAATATACATTAAAAAGTCACTTTGAGATAAAATGACCCAAAAGATGTGTCACATAAACCTCGACTCTAATAAACCCGAAGCAGCCCTCAGGAGCCTCCTGGCCAGAGAGCTGGTTTCAGAAATGAGAACTGTAAGAATAAGATCCTCTCGTTTGGGGTAAGTTGATAAATATATTCTCATAAACACCCACCTTCAGCCTGAAGAGGCCCTGGGTACATTGTAGCCTCTCAACAGCTGCCATCCCGTTTGGCAGGGAGAACATGTAACCACCCCCAGCCCCCAGCTCCAGGCCCCCAGCCCCGTGTCTGACTCCAAGCACTCCTGGCCTCCAGGCTGTGGCTTGGCAGCTGTGCCTGTGTCTTGCTGTCAGCTTGGGTGGCTATGCTCCACATACCTCATTCTGTGGCCCATTCTAGGGGGGGTCCCAGGGAGCAAACTTGGGGGGAGGTATTGTATGCAGACTGTTCGAGTACCTTGGGTGGCAGCTGTGAAAGGAGAGGTAAGCACCGGACTTGGTAGAGGGACAGTGGCTGTGCAGTGGGCGGCAGCACCTTGGACAGGCCCCAGGAGTGGGCTAGAACCACATGCGGCGGCCCAGGAGGCCGCCTTTACCCATCTGTCACCCCAATAGGTAGTCCCAGGGCTGGGCAGCCCAAGGAGGATGGTGGCATGGTCTGGGGGTGGCAGTGTGTTGCTCGGCGGAGGTTGTGGTTGGGAGTTTGCAGATTGTGGGGGTGGAGGGGAGGCGGGGGGCATGTGCCCAGCTGGAGGAAGGGGCCGAGCCTAGGCTCTTTGGCCTTGTCTTCCTCTGAGATCATGTCCAGCCCACCTCCCCAAAGTTGCAAAGTATGTTTGGAGAGAGAACACTGCAAGGACTACAGGTACTCCCCATCCCAGGCTGAGTGCAGGCGGGCCAGCCCCGCGGGCCCTGGCCCACGAGCCAGCAAGGACAAGAGCACACAGGCAGAAACCAGAGGTGAGAGGGCAATGCACGCTGTCTTTATTGACACCACAAGAGTAACAAGTTGTATGACGAGGTACACGAACTGGGCCCCAGGGGAAGTGGAGGTGGGGTCGGCCTTCAGGACATCGTCAGCCGATGCAGACCCACCCAACAGAACAAAATGAGAACACTTCCGACCCCACCGAATGAAGGAAAGACCCCCTGGGAGGTCCAGACAACCGGACAACTGTTGAAGTTACAGAAAAAGCAGGCGGCCGCTCCCAGTGGGAACCTGCCCAGCAGGCACAGGCGTAGGTGGAGGTGGTGGCGCGGACCACCGGGCCTGTGCTGAACTCCCGGTGAACAGGGTCAGCCCCGCTTACGTGTGTTCTATGTGTGTCATTCTCAGAAATGGGAAAAGAGAGCCTCCAGCATGGAGCACACACACCAAGAAACAAACAGAAGCGTCACTTTCGTTTCTTTCCATAGGAGACGTTTAATCATGTCAGAGACAAAGCGAGCTGAGCGAGGAACCAGCTCGGCTTCGTTACAAGGAAGAAATGGGTTCCTGTCGGTACAAAGTAGAACCTGAAACCACAGTGCTCGCACAGCTCACGACGGCGTAAAGTGAAATCTTAGCCATACACCATCTAAAAGGAATAAAAAGTCAACGCGCTGTGCGGAAAGGGCGCTCTGGCCCACCGGTTCTCCACTGGCGCGAACGGCCATGGGGCCAGGGGGGCAGTGCTCACCTCACCCCCCGCCCGAGAAGATAAAGGAAACAAAGGAAACAAAACAAAACAAAACTCCTCCAAATCAAATGAAGAGACAGGCAGTTCACTTGAACTCCGCGTAGTTCCCCTAGAACACTGTTCCCACATAAATACAATAAACTCTATTATTGGTATGTCACAAGTGTTAGATAAACTTTGTTTCTTAATATGACAAATGTTTAAGTAGTCCTTTTTATTTTTCTTACAATAAAAAGTACAATTTCTTAAGAATAAGTTCAATAAGACGCAAACGTTCCCCCCTCTCCTCCAAGGGTTTGTTACGTTACAGAAAAATCTCCATCTTTGAGTCAGCAAATGTCACGAGAGGGGAACACAAAGGCATTTTTCTTCTCCCCCAAGCTGCCGAGTTCGGCGTGCAAATCTGTGTACAATATAAAGACATGCCGGCCGTACAGTCATGCAACCTCCGGGTGTAGGAAACTTAAAAAAATATACTCATATATATTTATATATATATTTATATATGTATCAATGCCCATAAAACATGTGGGCCCAAAAGTCTACAAAAAGAATGGAATGAGCACATGGCTGTGACCAGGAAAGGAGGAATGTTCCGATGGAAAATTGAAAACAACCGACTCTGAGGCTGGCCACCCAGACTCACAGTGTCAGACCGATACAAAGGGTCCTTCCTCTGGAAACAGACTTTTAAAAGAAAGAAAAACTGAAACACCTTGACAAAGAGGCCCTTTGGAAGCCGGGTGCAGTCCCGGATGGCCGCCTGCTGGTGGGGCTCAGACGCGTCGTGGCCGGAAAACTGAAAGGGCTGGGTGACCCCCGGGCCCTGCGGCGTCAGTTTCCGGGGAAGGGCTATAAAGTGCTCACTGGCTGACCCCCGGCCTGTGCCTCAAGGACTCTGCAAAGGAAGAAAAGGCTAAGGTCCAAGGACCAAAGAGGGAGGGCTGAGGGGCCCTCCTTCACGCAGGGTCCTGCCCACACTTGGCAGGCCCTCCGCCATCTGCCCTGGATGGTGGCCGTGGAGAGGGGCTGAGTGTCTTCACAGAAAAGAAAGGCTACATGGCTCTGCTTTCTGCACGTCTGTGAAGCTGGAGTGAGCTGACAAGCGAAACAGGCTCCCTGCCGGGCCTATCTGCAGGGGTGCCTCTGTGAGCGGAAGTAAACCCCCAGGGAGAATGTGGCCACCAAGAGGTCCAGGCCGTCTGATCATCTGTAAAAAGGTCAGATGATGCATTCCTTCCGAGAGCCAGGGCTGGCAGAGCAGGCAGCAGGGTCCCCGGAGGATCTTGAGAAGGGAGCCGAGAAGGCCGAGAGCCACCAGCGGGGCCCTGCACCGCTCTGTGCCACGCCGGGAAGGATGGCACTGATCCCACCTGAGCTCCTCCTGCCAAGTGGGCCGCAGGGTAGAGTGGCCAGCAGGGAAAAGCGTCAAACGTACCCCAAGACCTTCCCGTCCTGCCTCAACCCACTGTCCTATTTCTGACCAACAGCATCCCCATGACCAAGCCAATCCAAGAATTTGGATTCCTTTGGTCGACACCCGGCTGTGTCAGTGGCTCTCAGAAGCTACCCTGTAAATGTCCCAAACTCAGAGACTTGGCTGGGGTTCCCTCCTGTGGGCACGCTGTGTCTGCACTTTCCCCCACGAGTCTGAACTCAATGCACACTTGGGAATGAAAGCGGTGGCTTCAAGTTCTGAAAATAAGTTACCAGTAAAAGTGACGTTCCGTTTCTGTCAGAGAGAAAAGGAGCAACGGCCGGCTGTGCTGCTCAGGAGGCTGGGGTCCCCGCAGGCTCACCAGGCAGCAAGGGCCAGGCCATGTGGCTGCAGGGGAAAAACCTGGGCTGGTGCCGGGCCATGCATTGCTGACATGCTTAAAAGGTCTTTGGAAAACTGAAGCTAGTCTGACCATGTGGTCAGAGAAGTTTAAATGAGAGTTTCAGGAAGCTGACGGCCTGTGGTGTCTGGCAAGTCACCGTTCAGTGTCACGAGTGGCCCTCTCCACACCTGCCACGGAGGGAAACACACCGCCCGGTAAAACTACGGGCGAGGCAGGAGAAGCCCGCTGCTACCGACAGCCCAGATCCACCCCACAGGCGACGCTCTTTCTGAAAATAAACTCCAATGGCAGCAGTTCCGTGCGCAGAAAACTGCTCACCATACAAACAAAAGTGAAAACAATAAAAAACACGTTGAAAGTTAAAAAAATGTACAAGAAGAATTTAGAAAGGAAAAAGGTATAGACATTATTACCATTCAGAAAACTGCTAAATGGTGAGAAAAAAATGTGAAATTCACAAAACAATGCTTATTCAGGATCTTTTTGTGAAAAATTCATACAAAAATCAACAGCAAATTTATATTCCTTGCTATAAAAACTCATTAGGTACATATGTGGGTGGAGGTGTGGAACAGGAGGGGTCTGTTAGAAAATAATTAAAATGAAATACAAACGTGTGGTAGTTGCCAGTGGCGAATGTGCTGGCGATCTGAAATCGATCCAATCTGGACTTCAAACTACATGAGTTCAAACTAGATCCCTTTCCGTAAGCACCTTGGTAGCTAATTCACAAGTCGTTCGTTCCCAGGGGCCTTGACAACCTGCATTTT